ATGATACCGCATGGTGAGTGCACTCGCTCGCTTTGCTAATGGTATCTCCCTACGGCGATTCTCAGACTCAGAGCTACCAGTATCTTGCGTGGAAACTACTCTTCTTATCAGCATACTCAGATGTTAGTCTGTACAATTTATTACTTACTCTCGCTCTCACCCTCCATGATCTCGTCCTCTGGATTCCCGGTCGATTCAGATATTTCCATGGGGTTTCCTTCGGTGTTGTCCGTGTTCGGGGTGGTTGGGGATTGGGGGAGGTGCTCGGTAAAGTGTGTGGTTGCTCCACACTATAGTAGTTTCGCACTTACGCTAGGTTTAGGGACAATCCAGACTTTTTTTTTCGGCCGGTACTGTCTACTAGTTATGCCATAGGGATTATTGCTGTGGGAGGGTATTTTTCTTCTTTTTTTTTTTTGGCACCCCGCATCTTGACCCTACTAGATGAACCAAGTTCCAGAGCCCAGAGTGGGATTTGCTTGATGTCATGTCCACTGCCCTCCCCCTTTCCCACGTCTAAGTCTATATAACGCGCCCGACCCGTTCCATCTATCATATCATATCATATCTCCCATATTTCAAAGTCACCCATACCCATCACCGCTACGATCCATCCATCATCAAACCGGCAAATTATCGTACCTGGTGATATCCAGCGACGAACAAACACAGCACCAGCACTCGTACAATACAGTATCATCTCATACCATGGGGGTTACCACGACACAGGGGTCGATTGTGTTGCCGAGATTGCAGTACCGTACGAGCACAATACACACGTGCGGGTTCGGTCCGGTAAGAAGCGGTAACTGTAACTGGGTGGGTGGTGGGTAGGGCTGGGATTGCAGTGTACGAGTACTTTGTAGAGTACGTGTAGTATCACAGCACTCGTACTTTACTGGTACTCGTGTAGAGTACAAGTACGGCAAGTACCGGCAGCCCATCTACCGGAGATTAAGTTTTTGGGGTCCTTGTGGGAGGGAGGGAGGGAGGAAAAAAGGTGAAAGTTGGAGGAGGGCTTTGTTTTGTTTGTTTTGTTTTGGGCGGCCTCATGAGTGTGAGGAAGAAAGGAAGGAAGGAAGGAAGGAAGTGGGTGAGCGGTTGGGGACGGCGCTTGCTATCGTTACGGTATTACAATGTACGGTGCTTCGCGCTTGGGGGAGTTTTTCCTTGTTTTATTGTGTCATAGCTTTAGACTAACGTGGAGGAGAGTTGGGTGGACGGCTGGGGTATGATGATGGCTTGAGAGGTTGCTGGGGGAAACATGTTCGCGAATGTCGTCGCACGCTGAGGCCTTGTCCAATGGTTCCCGTCCAATTCGATCTTTCAAATCAATCATAACTTGCTCTTTTCCCTCCTTTTTTCTTCTTCCCTCCCTCCCGGTATCATAGTGAGAGAGTATCATAGTGAGAGATACGATACCGTGTTCATCTTTCCCTGAAATGTTTCATCCCGGCTCTACTGTTTTCCATCTCTATACGGAGTACCAAACCCGTCCGATGGTTGCAGAGGAAAATGTTGGGTTGCGATACTTGCACGGTGCCCACTGCCCACTACTCCCCGCCAGTCTTCCCGTGTCCTCGTCCGTGTGTTCACCAGCGGGCGTGGTAATTACAATGTTTGCTTTGGCAAGAAAGGAGGAGGGTAAAAATGACATCTATGACACGGTACCGTACTGCACACCCTCCTCCACAATGGGAAAAAGAGAGAAAAAAAAGAAAAAAGGAATAGAAAAAAAAAGGGAGCGGAAAGGGAAGGGAAGGGATGGGCAAGAAAAAAAAGGAAAAAAAGGAAAAAGGAGCTGATCAGATCTATCAGATCCACCGAAACCTTTTTCTCCCACCTTTCTTTCACCTCCCAAGACTTTTTCTTTTCTTCCCTTTGCTTCAACAGCCGAATGACGAGCGCTGAAAACCAGCGATTTTTTTCTCTTGTGGAGGAAAAAAGAAAGATGGGGGACTCGATGCACCAATACCAAGATCCGGGCCCAGACCGTTTAACTTGACTTGATGCACGAGAAGAAGGGGGCATTAAGTTACTTACCGACCGACGAGACAAGATAAGACAAAGCCCAGGCAATGCCCAGATATTGCCAATGCCAAACCTCTGGGCGCGATAAAAAATCCCAATCGCTGGGCATCATCAGGGAAGGGAAGGGAGGGGAAAGGGAGGGAAGGAAAGGGAAAGGGAGTTGCTTCCTGGCTGTATGTAACCCGCCCAAGCCAAATCCTTCACCACCGACTTCTCTTTTAATACTTTCTAATCTCTTGGCTACAAAGGGCTTTTCTCCGTTGGTTTAAATTGAACAAAAAAATTAAAAAAAAACTCTTGGTTTTATCTCGGCGCGCCGCTACTTGATCTGCTTTTCTCTTTTGCTTTCCTTGGTGCTGTACGTTCGAGTTCAAACTGCGGTGCTCAAAAGGTGGGTTGGGTTGTTGCCCACATTTTGGCCGTTTCCTTTCGCTCTTCTTCCTCTTCCCTCCCTTTTTCTCTCCTTCATACCAGATATGAGAGGAGAGAAGAGTGGTGGCGGTGGCACTCTTTTGGCACTCTTCTTTTGCATCTTCTGACCTTTCGTCTGGTTCCGCCATGAGATACTTGTCGTCGGTCGCCTTTCACTCCTGCATCGATTGAGCATTTATTCGCATGCGATACGGTACCTACCTATACCCTTTCCCGCCGCCCATCGCTGCTCTGAGAAAAAGAGGTTATCGCTGTAACGCCGTATTTATTAATTTCTGCTTTTTAATTTATTTTATTTTTTTTTCATTCTTTTTGGACCCTTCCTTTTCTAGTTCGTTACCGTACTCGTACTATTGAAGCGTACCTTCTGTCCCCCCGTGTGGTGTGCCCCCGTACCGTACCAACCGGATCTTCTGCATTGCATGCATGACGCCCCGCGAGAATTATAGTCGGTCGTACGAGGAGGAAGTTCGGGGAACGGCGGTGGATGGGGATTGGGGTGATCGTAATGTGACGGCGAGGGCAAAGACGATGGGGAAGGGAGAGGGGAGTATCAGGACTAGTATGGCTTCGGCTTCCACTGTTGTGATGGCAGCGGGGGTAGAAACGACGACAGCGGCAACAGGCGGGACTGGGGTGAGCGGAAAGGGGAGTGGGAAGGGGAAGAGTGGAGATGCGGAGGGTGGTGCAGATGTTGAATGGGGTGGGGGCGTTTGCGGTGGAAGAGAAGGGAGCTCTAATTCTTTGGGTGATGGAGGTGGTGGGAATGGTCGTACTGGTAGTGGTGGTAGAAGCGATTGTGGTGGTGGGGTGGACGAAACGGTGACCCGAGAGGTGGCTTTTTCCCGGCCTCGCGCAACCCCGCAGCAGCATCGGCGAGCCAACGAAAGAAGCATACCATCTTCAGTAGCCCCTCGCGATGGGCCTCGAGAGTATGATTTAGAATCCTTGGGCGAGCATTCACGCGAAGCTTCATCATACGTGTGGAGAGTATTGGTATCTTCCCACTCTTTACCATTCACATCCCCATCCTCTCATTCCTCGTGCAAATCGCGTGAAACACCTCGTCCACTAACATAGTGAATTAGGTCTACTTGGTCCTTGTGAACCCTTTCCTCTGCCTCCTCAACACCCTATACACAGCTCTAGTCCTCCTCCTATCAACATTCACCTTTCCAATCCGATCGTTTCTCTCGTCTAATGCCCGATTCTTGTCTTGCGGCACGCATGCCAGCCTTGCGTTCCTGCTGCTAATGCATCTAAGGTTCATATGTCCAGACAAACCCCGGCGATCGACTCTTCCCGTGGCAGAGGACTTTGCAGGGCGGAGGCTCGTTCTCGTGCACGTTTTTGGCCCCTTTGTTGCGCCTTTGTTCTCTATTGGCGCGGGGGTGCTGATGCTGCTGTGGGTTTATACTGAAGTGCTGCTTGGCGAGAGGAATGATGGGGGCGGAGCCGAGTATAGGGGCGTTCTGTTTCTCAAGGGGAAGTGGGAGGAGTATATCCTTAGTGGGTTGAAGCCAAAGTGTATTGATTCTTGATATGTTTTTTTTTCCTTTTTTTCTTCCCTTTTTTCTCTTTTTCCTTGTTGGTGGTCTCTTCCGAGTTGCCTGTTTTTGTTGGATTTTTTATAGGGGATTTTCTTTTCTTTTCCTTTCTTTGATCTCACCGTCTCAGCCGGCCCCCCTGCGCTTCTACCGGTGCTCCCTCTCTCTGCCCTCATATCTATGTATCTTTCCCGGTCGGCGTTTGGGCTTTTATTTTTCATCTCCTTCATTTCCACCCCCCCCAACCTCAACATCGCTCAATAACTTGTACATACCATCCTGTAATCCTCGAGTCGACTATGATATCGGCACCGTACAAACACCCGGAAATTTCATCGTCGCCTCCCTTTCCCTCTCCCCGTAACCCAATCTTGGTAACTGCCCTACCCTTGCAAGATCCACCACCATCCATCATTCATTCATTCATTCAAAAAATCAAAAAAGAACCACATGAGGTCTTTTTCGCATTGGCCAACAGCTTCCCTCCTCATTCAAGAGCGGGGTACACGGTGTGCTGTGATAACCGGTAACGGCACAGTTGGCCCAATGATGTAAAATGCGGCTCTTAATGTAGGTTTAACAAGCGGCTGGATTTGGAATCTTGCTTTTTTTGCATGGGGTGATGTGGGTGTGGGCGGGCACCGTGCGCAGCGGTCTGTTGCAAGGAAGGGAGGGAGGGGTAGGGGTATTGTACAGTAGGGGTGCGGGAGTGGGAGTGGGAGTGATTTGTTGGAAGAATGATAGGCTTTCTCTTTCTGCACCGGCACAGTACGGTACGGTATTCGAGTATTTTTAGGGTGGGTGTGGTGCGTCGGTGTGTGGGGGTGAGATTAGGTTGTTGCAGGGGAGAATGAGACCTCCTTAGGGGAAGGGGGGTTGGCCATCTTGATTAGATCAAGATTAGATTAGATATCTGATTGTAGATATGATTAGATAATACGGTACCCATCCTCTGATACACACCACCACAAACCCTGTTGGATTTTTTTTTTTTTCCCCCCGGCAGCTTGCTGGTGCGAACCTGGCATCGATCATTTCTCGCCCACCCACCCACTCCATCCCAACTAACGAACCCAATGGCGAAAAAGCGCAGAAATCTAACGTCCGCGCAACCTAAATTCCCTAGGGGGATCGATCCTGACGACGCAAAGATCGGTCCGATTGGTACGTTCCATGTCTTTCACTTGTAGAGCAGAGGGGAAAATGCTAATGGGCGGACAGAAACATGGGAGGACATCGCGGACGAGGAGGATGCCTTCCATATATCCAGGGATAAGGTGCTCCTGGAGGATGATTCTTTTGATGGTTCGTTTTTTTTTCTTCTATCCCTCGAATTGTGAGTGAGCTCTAATATTGGTGTAGAAGATGGGCCTAGCGATGAGGAGGTCCTTGGATTGGAGTATTCCGATTCGGAGGCTCTCGATCAGGATGAGGATATGAGCGACGAGGATAGTGACGACGAGAAGGGTGAAGAGGACGAGGAACTACGAGAAGGCTGGGGAAGCTCTAAAAAAGACTACTACAACGACCCTAGCGCTCCCGAAGAAGCTGAGGAATCCGAGGCGTTAAGATTGCAATCTAAGCACCTATTGTCGCTCTCTACTAATGACTTTTTGTTCAACGCTGCTGAATGGACTACCGCCGATCCCCCTTCCCCCACAACTTCCACGACACCGACAAAAGTAATTGAACAACTCCCCTCCGTCCCTCTATCCTCCCTGTCCGAAGAAGAGAGGACAAAACGCCTCCACCTCCTTCACCCTGAATTCCCGCTCCTCGCAAAGGAGTTCGCGGAGTTGGAGCCACTGCATGCGTCGTTAGCACTTTCGGCCGCGGCGGCAGAGGCAGTTGGTGAGACGGCCAAGAGTTCTGTGGCTATTGCCAAGTTTAGGGCGCTAAGTGCTTATTTGGGGGTTTTGAGTATGTATTTTGCTGTTCTTACGGCTGGGGATGAAGTCGCGCAGGGGGGGGTCGGGGGCGTGCAGGATCATGGGGTTATGGAGGGACTTGTGAAGTGTAGGGGGATGTGGGAGGCTGTTAAGGGGCTGGAGGTCGAGGAGATTAGTAGTCGGGAGGGGCGGGATGAAAAGAAGAAGAGGAAGAAGAAGAAGAAGGGGAATGAGTTGGATGGAAAGCCGGCGGGCGTGAAGGAAGGGAAGGGAGAGCCGGAGAAGAAGAAGGTTAAAGTTTCTACCACCATTACCACAGCGCCGAAGGTGCCATCAAAGAAATCGAAACCAAAACCCAAGCCCACAGAGCCCGAGTCAGACTTGTCCGACTCGGACGTCGAAATCGACTTTTCCAAACCGGCACCCACCGCACGCCCGCCCCCCCCTGCCAATTCCACCTCTGCTTCAACATCGCATTTCGGCGATCCCACCCATCTCTCACACCCTGACGCCCTCTCCAAATCTGCCAAAAAGCGCACCCTCCGCTTCTACACTTCACAGATCGTATCGAAATCTGCCGCGCGCGCATCCGCCGCCCAGTCACACTCGGGAGACATGGACCTCCCTCACAAGGAGCGTGCGAAGGAGCGCGCGATCCGGTTGCAAGCCGAGACCGCACGAAAGCGTGGCGCAGCGGACCCGACTGTTGATCTGGGTTACTCTAGCGGCGGTGAAGACACTGACCCTGCCGACAGACGGGGGAGGAACGAGAGTGAGGAGGAGGATGAGTACATGCGCCTCCTCAAAACCTCGGGCAAGGAAAAGAAGGTTGCAAAAAAGGCGGCACACGACCAAGCCCGGGACGCGCTCCGTTCCGGCGCCCGAGCGGGCATCGAAGGTGGGGAAGCGGGAGGAAAGAGAGCGATTGGGTACACAATTTCGAAGAATAAGGGGTTAACACCCTTCCGCAAGAAGGAGGTTCGCAACCCCAGGGTCAAGAAGAAGTTGAAGTACGAGGCGGCCAAGAAGAAGCTGGGTAGTGTGCGCGCTGTGTACAAAGGCGGGTTGAAGGGGACGTATGCCGGAGAGGCGACGGGGATCAAAAGGGGATTGGTTAGGAGTGTCAAGCTTAGTTAGCGGGAATGGGGTGCGTGTCGCGAATGGTTGTATATATTATACGTATGTATGATATCTTGGGGTGGGAAGTTTTTTATCACTTTTTTTATCTTTATGTCGAGGTGTTTGTAGATGGGCATTGTCGACACTTATCGTGGAGGTCAATCCATTTGGCCAATAACGGTATGATACAGAAAAGTTCTTGCCATATTTCTACCACCACCACCCCCCTCCATCCACTCCATCTCATAAGCAGATTCGCACAGCACAGCTCAGCACAGCACAGATCCCCGCTACGGCACCGGCACCACACGAAGCATCAACCCCCAACACGAAAAATACCCCCCCCTCCTCCTTCGGGTAACCCGTACATGGCGCTCAATTTGGTACCAGCATCTATCATACATGCCATGCGTAGCGCAGTGCAATCCTGGCCGTCCGTCGTATCGGTGGCTACTGTACGGATCGACGAACGGTAGGTATTGCGAGAAGGATGGAGAGAGAGAGGAGAGCGAGTGATGGGACGAGAACTGTGACATCGCAACGAGTATATAAGAATAAAAATAGATACAGGTGGTGGTGGTGCTGATGATGCCCTGCGGATGGAAATGGATGGGCGAATGGATGGATGGCTTGGAGGTCGGGTATGATATAGTGTGGTATGATACAGTACATTTACGAGTTACGGTACGGTAATTGGGCTCGGTTGGTTAGCGCTGGTGGCAATATTTGCAAGTGGCAGAAGAGAGAGAGAGAGAGAGAGAGAGAGAGAGAGAGAGACGA